GTTATACCCTTCAAGTACATCTGGATATCTTCCATAGTGCAGTCCAAGGTTTTGGGTTTTACGTAAATACCTCAAAACCCTTACTATTGCCTTCCAGTGTTCAGCACCGGGGTTGCTAGTATATCTACTCAACTTGCTAACCACAAAGGCAATATCAGGCCTGGTACAACTCATTAGATACATCAAGCTTCCAATAATCCTAGCGTATTCTACTTGAGAAATACACTCTCCACGATTTTTCGTAAGTTGTACATTTTTATCTAATGGAGTCCTTGCCTCTTGATAATCATCCTTATTAAATTTCGTAAGGATTTTATCAACGTAATGGGATTGGCTTAGCGTAAGACCGTCAGGTCCTCTAATTATTTTAATCCCAAGGATTAAATCGGCCAGCCCCATATCCTTCATGTCAAATTTAGAAGTTAACATGCTTTTGGTAGAATTAATCATTAGATTATTGCTACCCACGATGAGTATATCATCCACGTATAAACATAAAATGACATAGCCGTCTACCGTGCTCTTCACATAGACGCATTTGTCACTTTCGTTTATTTTAAACCCATTAATTAACATTGCATGATCAAACTTTTCGTGCCACTGTTTAGGGGCTTGTTTCAATCCATACAATGATTTAATTAATTTACACACTTTCCTTTCTTGGCCTGGAACACGAAAGCCCTCGGGCTGTTCCATATAGATTTCTTCGTCTATATCGCCATTTAGAAAAGCGGTTTTTACGTCCATTTGATGAACTTCCAATTTCCGCAATGCGGCAATTGCTAGTATCATCCTAATGGAATTTATTCTCGTCACAGGAGAATACGTGTCGAAGTAATCATGGCACTCACGTTGCTTGTATCCTTTGATTACAAGTCTGGCCTTGTACTTATCGATGGAACCGTCCGGTTTCATTTTCCGTTTAAAAATCCTCTTGGATCCCAAAGGTTTATTTCCCGGAGGAAGATCAACCAATTCCCATGTGTGATTTTTAAGGATAGAATCCACCTCACTTTTGATGGCTTCTTTCCACATAGGACCTTCAGTAGACGTCACGGCTTCCGTATAAGTCCGTGGCTCATTTCCTACCAAACATGTTAGAAAATCCGGTTCATTTTCTACCATACATGTTAGAATATCCGGTTCAAATTCTACCAGGTAGGTGAGAAAAACCGGTCCGAAGGATTTTTTTAATTCTAGCACGTTTGCTACGTCTGGGTTCGGGTTCTTCTCCGGATCCCTCGCTAGTATTTTCCATAGCTACGTCAAATGTTCGTTTTGACGTGCTAGGCCCTTCGTTGGACTTGCATGGAAATACATCTTCAAAGAATGAAGCATTCCTTGATTCAATTATTGTGTTTTTATGTACATCCGGATTATTCGAATCGTACACTAAAAACCGATAGGCACTACTATTTTGTGCATATCCAATAAAAATACAATCCACCGTTTTTGGACCTATTTTTATTTTCTTAGGTGTTGGTACAAGCACCTTTGCAAGACACCCCCACACTTTTAAATATTGATAGGAAGGCCGTCTGCCTTTCCACAACTCGTACGGAGTTTTATCATATTTTTTCCGGGGAACCTTATTTAAAAGGTAATTGCTTGTCAAGATTGCTTCGCCCCACATATTTTCTGGCAAGCCCGAACTTACTAGCATCGCGTTCATCATATCTTTCAATGTGCGATTCTTTCGTTCGGCAACACCGTTTGATTGAGGTGAATAGGGTGCGGTACGTTCGTGTACTATACCCACACTAGCACAAAAGTCACCAATTGGTGCTTCATACTCACCACCTCGATCACTCCTAACCGTCTTAATCCGTCGATTAAGTTGGTTTTCCACTTCATTCTTATAAAGAATGAATTTATCGATTGCTTCGTGTTTATTTTTTAATAAATAAACGTAGCTATAGCGTGTGCTATCATCGATAAAGGTAATAAAATATTTATTACCGCCACGTGTTTGTATTGATTTAAAATCACAAACGTCACTATGAATTAATTCAAGTGGTTTCATTTTTCTTTCAACCGATTTGAAAGACGTTTTCGTTAGTTTTGCCTCTACACAAACTTCACATTTGTGCTTCACATCAATTGTGAATTTAGGAATGTGCTCCATGTTAATCAATCTACGTATAGAATTAAAATTAACATGTCCTAGTCTACCATGCCACACATTAGAAGACTCAAGCAAGTAAGCAGAAGAGATTTTATTATTATTATTATTAATAGTCATTACATTGAGCTTAAAAAGCCCATCACATGTATATCCCTTGCCCACATACATTCCCGATTTAGACAAAACTAATTTGTCCGACTCAAAAACCATGCGAAAGCCATGTTTGTTCAACAACGAACCGGAAATCAGGTTTTTGCGTATTTCCGGAACGAACAAAACTTGGTTTAGAGTCAGCTCCTTGCCCGAAGTCATCTTCAGAACCACTTTGCACACGCCTTCAACCGCGGAATGAGCCGAGTTACCCATCCACACTTTCTCACCATTTGATGGCTCAAAAGTTGTGAATAACTCCCGGTTTGAGCAAATATGTCGGGTTGCACCGGTGTCCACAAACCACTCCTTGGAATTGGATCCAACGAGGTTGACCTCGGTCACCACAGCCGCAAGGATGATGTCTTCATCCTTTTGCCCACCTTGCACCAATTTGACTTGAGAGTCCCTCTTCTTCTTGAGTGCCTTGCAATCCGCAGACTTGTGTCCGTTTTTATTGCAATTGAAGCATTTTCCATTGAACTTTGTCTTGGAAACGCCTCCCTTGGGACCGAGCTTGCTCTTCCCATTATTCTTGGTTTTGGAGCCTTTTGCATGCTCCACCACGTTTGCCTTGGCGCCATGAAGAATTGGGAGTTTCCCATCGTTCTTCCGGTTATCCTCTTCAATCCGCAGACGGAGGATCAATTGCTCCAAGTTCATTTCCTTTCGCTTATGCTTAAGGTAGTTCTTGAAATCCTTCCAAGTCGGCGGCAATAAATGAATAATTGACGCCACTTGGAATGACTCACTAACCGTCATTCCTTCATCTCGAATTTCGTTGAAGATCATTTGCATCTCCTCAACTTGACTCAAGACCGTCTTCGAATCCACCATTTTAAAATCACGGAATCGACCAACAACAAATTTCTTTGCGCCGGCATCCTCGCTTTTATATTTGTGGTCCAAAGCATTCCATAGCTCCTTAGCCGTAGCTAATTTGCTATAAACGTCGTACAAAGCATCATGCAGCCCGTTCAGCACGTAGTTTCGGCAAAGGAAGTCAGAATGCTTCCAAGCTTCAACCGCGTTGAAAGATTGCGCATCCACCTCACCCCCGGTTGCTATCGGTGCATCCTCGGTCAAGAACCTCGCAAGACCGAGAGTAGTGAGATAGAAGAGCATCTTTTGCTGCCACCTCTTGAAGTTTAACCCATTGAATTTCTCGGGTTTCTCCACAGAGTTGCTTGGCACAGTCACCATAGGGATAGCCCTTTGGTTGGCCAAAGTAGATGCACCGCGTTGTGAACCATTGTTCACCGGTGCTCCACTTTCAGAGTGATTGTCGTTCAGAACATTCTGCCCAACACCAATCTCGTTTTCTTGAGAAGTCATTTTCGTTCTTTAACGTTTTTCCGAAAACACAAAAAAATAAGTTCGTTCACCAAAGTGACAAACTACGATTTAAGATTGTTTACCACAGTAGAACAATCAGCAACTACGTTTTAAGATTGTATCTGTATGATACAAGCTCAACAAATACGTTTTAAGATTGTTGGGTGTGTTTCGGAAAATAAAGATAATTAATTAGAATAAATTAATTAAATAAAATGACAAGAGAAAAACAAGAAATGAGATGAAGCAGAATTAGTCAAAGCTCGTGCTACGCACGATTTCCTTAAAACGTATTTGTCGCCTCCCACGGTGCTAGGAGCGTTGCAACAATCGTTTCCCAGGATACGATGACTACGAACTAATGTTTGAGCACACAAACAAGAGTTCCAACGAACGAGAACCAAGTATGAACACAGAAGGAATTTTGCAGAGTAGCTGTAGGTGTTTTTAGCTCAAGAAATTCGTGAGAAATGTATTGTGCGTTGTGTCAAACCGTGTGTTTGTTGCAAAGCACCTGCCAGCTATTTATAGGAGGATTTGTTGTGTGTTAAATGGGGTGTTAATGGACCTGAACGTTGGACATCAATGACCAGTCCGTTGGGCATTGAATCGTCCATAAACTGTCCATTTAACGCAGCATTAAAAGAAAAGAACGTTGAGCATTAATTGTTGTAACGGACCAGAAGACCTTCTGTTGCGAACAGAAGGCCTCGAGGGTCTCTGTTGCAAACAGAAGACCTCGAGCATCTCTGTTGCGAACAGAAGGCCTCGAGCGTCTCTGTTGCGAACAGAAGACCTCGAGCGTCTCTGTTGCGAACAGAAGACCTCGAGGGTTTCTGTTCCGGACAGAAGTCGAGCATCTCTGTTCCGGACAGAACTCCACCCCTTCTGTCACTGGGAAAAATAAAACGTTACGGGAAGAAACAAAAATTAGACCGTATCTTTGAATGATAGGTTTTCGGACGACATTCGTGTCCACAAGTCGCCCGCGCACACGAGTCACGGTTTTTCTTCTCCGTTTCGGGATTTGATCGGTACCCCCCCCTGCGCGTAAGAGAGAGCCTTTCCCTTTGGGAATCTTAACTCCTTAAGAGAGGCTTCCCTTTATAAGAGGGTGAAAATCTCTTGAGTTTTTCGGTGTGGGATAAAACACACTAGAAACTCACCATTTTCCCAGTTTTTCCATTTCAACGAGTGAACTTCGAGAATCAATTTCTCATTCACCCGTTATCCGTTTTGAGTGTACCACATATCGAATTGTATCCCTTAACAAGGACAATCCGAAACCACTTTGACCCGACCCAAATCGGAAGTGGACCCCACTCAAATAATTGCCCCAAAATGACCATTTAATGCAATTTTTAACACATTTTTCCAACACTTATTAGCAAATAAGTCATCTCCCGCTCTCCTGTGCGTATTTGTAATCTCGGTGAAACTTTTTATTGAATACAAATCCCTTGGGAATTTTGTCTCTAACGAAAGATCACGCTCCTTGATCTTTGTGTTCTCCTTAAAATATAATCTGAAAGGATGTGAAGTAGGCCTGTAGTCACCGTTATTAGCCCTAACTTCAAAACGCATCATTCCATAAAGACTATGCTCCTTAATTTTGTCCTTAAAGGTAGAAACATGAGCATTTTCAACGGTAGCTTGAATGCGTGTTCCCTGCATGAATACAACAACAACAACATCCAAGCCTTAGTCCCAAAAGATATTGGGGTCGGCTAACATGAATCGATACATGATATCACAACCAAAAGGAAAAGAAGGAATAAAGATAAAAAGATAAGCTATTATGAAAAGATAATATAAAAAAGATGAATATATATATAAATGATAAAATAAAAAGGCTGCAAATAATGCATATATATATAAGGATAAAAAATACTAGGAAAAAAAGATGAGGGAAAAAGATTATCAAGATCACTCCTTCACGTGAATACCCGCCCTCCAATTAGTTCTCTCCAAAGTCATGCCCTCATCCAACCCCAGAAGAAGCATATCACTTCGAACTCCCCTAACCCACGTCTGTTTGGGTCTTCCTCTCCCTCTCTTCCCTGCCTCTTCTCCACACATCTCAACTCGCCTAACAGGTGCATCACTCGGTCTTCTACGCACATGACCAAACCACCGTAGGCGCGACTCCCGCATCTTGTCTTCAATAGGTGCTACTCCCACCCTTTGTCTGATTGTCTCATTCCTCACGCGGTCCTTCCTAGTATGCCCACACAGCCAACGCAGCATGCACATCTCTGCCACACTCATCTTTTGAATGTGACATTGTTTCACCGCCCAACACTCTACGCCATACAGTAATGCATGCCTAATTGTTGTCCTGTAAAATTTACCCTTCAGTCTAGTCGGCATACCTCGGTCGCATAGAAATCCTGACGCACTCTTCCACTTCATCCACCCTGTTCTGATTCTATGGGATACATCTCCATCTAACTCACCGTCCTTCTGAATTATGGAGCCCAAGTAACGGAACATATCGCTGACTGGTATCTCCTTACCATCCAGAGTAATTCCGCTATTACCACTACTTCTACCTCCACCAAATTTGCACTCCATGTACTCTGTCTTGCTCCGACTTAGTTTGAAACCCTTATTCTCCAATGTTTGTCGCCATAATTCCAACTTTGCTTTAAGACCTGATTGCGTCTCATCAATCAATACAATATCGTCGGCAAACATCATGCACCACGGTATATCGTCTTGAATTGACTTCGTAAGTTCATCCATGACTATGGCAAATAAGAAAGGACTCAAGGCCGATCCTTGGTGCACTCCGATAGTAATAGGGAACTCTTCAGTCCTCCCTACACTAGTACGAACACTTGTAGTACAATCCTCATACATATCCATGATGATGCTGATATACTTGCGTGATATGCCTTTCCTAGTTAAGGCCCACCAAAGAACTTCTCGAGGTACCCTATCATATGTCTTTTTCTAAGTCAATGAACACCAAATGCAGATCCTTATGAGCATCTCTATACTTCTCCATAAGTTGACGAAGAAGGTGAATAGCCTCAGTTGTTGAGCGACCAGGCATAAAACCGAATTGATTCTCTGAAATCTTCACAGTCCTTCGAAGTCTTTGCTCAATCACTCGCTCCCAAAGTTTCATGGTGTGACTCATAAGCTTAATCCCTCGATAGTTGGCACATTCTTGTACATCACCTTTATTCTTAAATAAAGGGATAAGAGTACTCTTCCTCCAACTCGTTGGCATCTTGTTGTTTCTCCAAATCATGTTGAAGAAACTTGTTAACCACTCGACGCCTCTCTCTCCCAAACTTCTCCAAGCCTCGATCGGTATGCCATCTGGCCCCATTGCTCTTTTCTGTCCCATCTTCCTCAGAGCTTCTTTAACTTCCGTTGTTTGGATCCTTCTCACAAAATCACGGTTAACCATACAATCTGGTATGGACAAATCGCCGATATCTTGCGTTTTGTTCCCGTTGAATAGTGTATCAAAGTATGACCTCCACCTCTCTTTTATCTCTCTGTCGTCCATTAATATCCTCTGATCAACATCCTTCACACACTTAACTTTTGCAATATCTTGAGTTCTGCGATCACGAAGACGAGCAAGTCTATAAATATCTAGTTCTCCTTCCTTAGAGTCCAACTTTTCATACAACTCCTTGTTCACTTTCTCTCGTGCTTCCCTTACGGCTTTCTTTGCTTGTCTTTTAGCCTCCCTGTATGCTTTTATGTTCTCATCACTCCAATTTGTCCCCAACTTTTTGTAGCAATTTGTTCCCTGCATGAATATTAAATATAAAAACAATTGGTTAAGCTTGTTTTTTGTCCAAAGTTTGTCAAAAAACAAATACCATTCTTCGATCATTATCCAATTTATTAAGCAGACGTTGAGCAGCTTAACAAAGTTTGGTCAAGCTCCTGTCAAGTTATATCACCCTCATGTATTCGCTTGGGTCAAGTTTGAGATAATTATAATGCCTAGAAGCCAACTCAATGAAGTTCTTGACACTGAATAAGGGCTTGATTAGTCAATTAAGGTACAAAGTTTTGATTATGAACCAATTGTAACAGCAAGTATCGGACATGTAGTCTTGTATGTAATGTTACTGCAGTCTGTAAAGTAAATGAAAAAAGAACTGAACCATTCATGTAATCCAAAACCATTGCCCAAGAATATGACATTTTTTGACATCATGACAATGATCCAAAAAAGATAGCTATGAAAGTTCACATGTTGGTTAAAGAAGACTTTAAACGACTGCATATCACTGGTTTAAGAAGAAAAATGCAGAAGTGGTTTTCTTAAGAAAAGAAAAAATTGCAAGAAAAGAAAAACTGCATATTGTACTTGTAACCTTATCTTCTTGAAATAAGACTGGTTTAAGAAGAAAAATGCAGAAGTGGTTTTGTCATTATTTTTTTCTTATTAATCTACTCTTCTAAAACTCAAAGAACCAAGAGCCAACGCTAATTGCCAAAGTAACTTAACATGCTGCTCTAGTATAAACTTCATGGTAAATATGGAGTATAATAGAAATAATGTAGAATTGCAGACAACACAGTCTCCTACCAGTGTCAAGTTCCACCAAAAAATAATGCCTATGACTCAGGAAACATCTATTCTGGAGCTTATGCAAAAGAATATATAAATGGTTTTTCCAGATTTGAGTTTTTTCTTCAGATTTAGGGGGCTTTCTATTTGAATAGTTAGTATAATACACAATGCATTTTTCTTTATTTTTGTTTCTTTTGATTGTAAGCAGTACTTTTGAAACCCTTAATCAAAATTTGAAAATATTTTTACTCTACAATGTTGTTTTGGTTTTGTTTTGTTTATTAATTGAAGTTTTTCATCAAAGTTCTGCCCCTGCAATTAGCTATTTCAATAATAATTCACAGTGGTCATTTTCTTTTGCTGTGTTTGTGTTTCAAATCTGAAAGTCTAAGTACTTTTCCTACCTATTCATAGCTTAAAGAAGCTGATATATATATACAAATCAAGAGTTTATAATATAAACTTAAAACTGCAAAGTACATAATTTTACTTATAATTGTGTATTGTTTGATCCAAAAGTATATTCATATCTCATGACGAGATAGGTTATCACCAGGCTTTGTCATATACGTACAATAAAACTAACCAAAAGTCTATACATAAACTACATATGATTTTAGTTAATTTTATGTAGAGGTATATGGAGGAAAAATACAATTAATTTTCCCTATTAGATGCGATTGAAACTGATTTCTTAGAATGCAAAGCTTCTAATAAACATTATACCAGTAGTTTACTTTAAGTACTTTCCCATGCATGCATTATGTGTACTCTCCCCTCTCCCTATTATTATGAGTTAGATGCAAAAGTACCCTCAATCGGGAATATGTTGAAGGTCAACAGAATTCTCAAGGGAGGGTCATTTTTGTCTTTTCATATGGGGTTGGGTGTAAAAATAAAGATTTTAAAAAACGAGGTGCAAAGTCAAATTTAGACAATAATATGATGCAAACTCAAATTACCCCTTTGAGGAATGCAGCAGATATTACAGATGCTCACCGTTAGACTCCTAATACTCAAAAGAAGAGGCTCCTAAACATTTATACACGGTAAAATTGCGTATATCTGGTCGGTGGGAGTTTTGCGGACATTGAGGTAACATTATTGTTGTTGTGAACTGACGACTCTTAATTAACCGAAGCATTTTAGGTTTTTTTAGCAAAGGAAAGTTTTATTGACCGGAGAAAGAAGTACAAGGCAATGAAAGAAGCAAAACAAATGGAAATGAAAAAGTAAAGGAACAATACAACAAAAGAGAAAGCTAAAGAAAATAATGTTATGCTAGGCATCCCAACTTTAATCCGGTGCATGTGCAATCTTTGATCTGATACGCGTGCTCCTCTTAATAATAGAGATCGCTTTTGTCTCAGACGAGACATCCAGTGATTCTTGCTCTGATAAGTCTCTTTGAAGGAGTGTCGAAATCATCACTCGGGGTATCTGATTCCTTAGGGTGTGAGGGATTCTCCTTGTTCATACAAGAAGAGTAATTATGGGATAGAAATTGAGGTGGCTCAAAATCCTATACATCCAGCCCACTATTTCCTCCACTACCGATATGATCCATGGTTTGAGGAATGCAGCAGATATTACTGATGATCACCGTTAGGCTCCTAATACTCAAAAGAAGAGGCTGGGTTCTCATCAAAATTGATTCAATGTTTATTTAAAGAGAATATGTGATTTTCACCAAAATTACAAGTTTTCCACCGGCTGTACGCCCGGCTGGAACCGTACAACCGACTGTACCATATATGCTTCCCAATAGAAGAGTCTAAATATCCTGAAACAATGCTGATCGATCAAACCTTGAGATCTTTTCTAGCTCGTGAAGAAAAACTCAAGAAGAGAATAAAGCAAGAGCCATTGGAGCAAGCTCTTCAAACCAAACCCACCCTAAAAATAAAGAGGTTTTTCAAGATGAAAGAAATCAAAGTTCACAAGAGAAGAGAGAAGTCCACATTTCTAGAGAGCGCGGTCAAAGTCAAAGCTATGGAAGAGGAGTTTACAAGACCTTCAAAAAAGAAGAGAGAAGTCCACATTTCTATACATCAAGAGGCCGAGGAATGTTAAATTGGAAATTCATTGCTATAATTGTAATACATGTGGTCACTATGCCTCCGATTATAGATTGGAAAAAATTAAATTCGGGGAGTGGATAAACTTTGCCAAAGAAGAAGAAGAAATTGAAAATATAGGTCCGTCAAGCTTGATAAACATTAGGCTAGCTTAACATATCCCTTCTGTAAAAGATAAGTTGTTGGTTTGAAGTTCAGTAATTAATCTCATGATCTCATCATGTGTGGATGCTCAGACTGGTCTAGACTAGTGGGTATATTTGGATCTCAGTAATTGAACCCATTTATGTGTGTGAGGTGTGGATACTCATACTAGGAGGAAATTCCCAAAAAGCAGGAATTTTGTGTCTGACACGCCAAATTACGGTAATGACAATTAGGTTACCAAAATACGGGAGTCGAAATCGGGTGCATGTTCCGACTAGGGTTTATTTTCTAAATCACTCCTCCTGACAGAATTGGCAAATCCGACCAGGGGGACTGGGGGAGCACCTTTTTATTTATTTATTTATTTAAAAGAGAGCACTTTTTTTATTATTCTATATTCCGAATGAATTATATAACACCGGATTCAAGACTGAGCAATCCATTAAAAACCAAAAACACTGAATTATATATCCCTTAATTAAAAATCCAAAAATATAACACTGAATTATATATCCCTATTTTGCTTATCATTTTTTTTAAATTATATATTCGCGACAATCCATTAAAATCCAAAAACACATAGATTCCATTTACTCTTGTCGGAATTGGTACTTCCGAATAGAGCAAAAGCCAAAAAATTAATACTACATAATAAACTTAACTGGTGCAATACAAATAAACAAATAATTAAATTAAAAAAAAAATGGTCGGATTGTGTAATTCCCACAGGAAATATTAAAAAAAAATAGAATAAGATTGTCGGATTTGGGTAATCCGACTAGATTTTGAATTAAATTTTTTTAAAAGCCTTCCCCTAGTCAGAAGAGTGAAATCCGACTCCCGCAATTTGAGAAACCCTGAATTGGGGTAATATTATTGTTGTTGTTGTTGTGAACCGAAGACTCTTAATTAACCAAAGTATTTTAGGTTTTTTTTAGCAAAAGGAAAGTTTTGTTGATTGTAGAAAGAAGTACAAGACAATGAAAGAAGCAAAACAAATGGAAATGAAAAAGTAAAGGAACAATACAAGTAAGAGAAAGAGCTAAAGGAAATAATGCTATGCTAGGCATCCCAACTTTAATGGAGTGCATGTGCAATCTTTGATCTGATACGAGTGCTCCTCCTCTTAATAATAGAGACTGTTTTTGTCTTAGACAAGAGATCCAGTAATTCTTGTTCCGATAAGTCTCCTTGAAGGAGTGTCGAAATCATCACTGGGGATATCTGATTCCTTAAGGTGTGAGGGATCCTCCTTGTTCATACTAGATTACTAGAAGAGTAATTCTGGGATAGAAATTGAGGTGGCTCAAAATCCTCTACGTCCAGCCCACTATTTTCCTCCACTGCGGATATGATCCGTGGTTTGTCGACATAGGCTTTCAAAATGTCAAAATTAGAAAGATTTTTGGATATTGATGAAAAATCGTCATTAGTTAGTCCCACGAAATTGGTTAAAATGGCCAGGAAGTCAATCAGGCTTGAATTCTTTGGGTCTATTGGGATAAGAATTGAACTCCCTTTTTCTTTAGTCATTCTTAAGTAGCAGCCTAAGTTGCTGGATTCAGAAGAAACCGTGATAGGGCCAAATCTCCTTTCCTGCCAGGTAGAATAAGGGTCCAGACCTGAAAGTTGTGTGATGAAACGGATGATTTGGGGAGCATTTTAGGTGTAAACAATTAACAATTTCACCAATCCTTTTGTCAAAAACTTTCCTTAAACAGAATGAGGAAAATGAATAAGTTTGATAAATAAAATTCAAGCCAAGAAACAGACTTCAAAAGGATTATATCTCTTTCAATAATAAAAGTGATTGATGAAACACTAATCAAATTTAGAACTTCAATACAATTATTTTCAGAATTCTATTGAAATTACAGAACATTTACAATTCTTTTTGTAAGAAGATTACTCTATAAACCACATTCTACACAATCATATGTACACATTTTTTATACAATCTTAAGAATCTAAATAAATTTTACCAATATCTGTGTTTCCATAGCTTTTAACGGAACTCCAAAAGCATACTGTTATACTTGTTAATGTTTTTTAATACTGAAGTGGTTAGCAACTTGACATATGCAATTAAATCAATATTCTTACCTTTTGTTATAGAGGAGACGACATGAAACATTATACGTAGTATTGGATATTGAAAGAAAATCAAGTACGGAGAATATTAGAATGAACACACAGGATCAAATGCTTATAACAGTGCAAATGCAGGAATCCATAGATCGTATATAAAAGCAATACAAATGCAACTACAAATAGGCCACATGAGTTATTCATTAACTTAAGTTTATCAAATCACATGGACAACAAAAACAGACACACCAGACTCCAAATAAGTAGAAATGACAGGAAATAAAAATCAGACTCGACAACATAGTACTAAAGAAGAGAGTTAATAACAACTTTATTACTTAGAAGGATTTCTTCCCTCCTTCCTCGTCCTCATTCTCGCTCCAACAACAGAGAAGGGTGGACCTAGGAGACCCACACCCGCCACTTCCAATGCCAGTGAACCCACAGTACATTATTGATCCTCCCTTTCCAAGAACTTCACAGCTCCTCTCACCACAGACATATCCATTCACATCAATATTGAAAACTGAGTCAAGCTTCTCTCCAAGGGCATCACTATGCAAAGCAACAGAGAACTCAGCAGGTTGGAAGCAGGCCAACACCCTCTCGATAAGATCATCCAACTTGACAACATCTTTGAAGTCATAACCCATCGCTTCAAAACTTGCATAGCTGAATCCATCTTCTGGAGTCACATGAATTGTCGAAATCCCCCCTCCCTCTATGGCATTCATCGAGTACCCACAAGGGTCAAAATCAAAGTCGCATATATCCGATCCAGGGAGAATCTTACAGATTCCGGACCTTTCAGTCATATCGATAGCAGAGTTTGATTGTGTCTTGAAAAACACAGATGATTTCTTCTTGTTCAACCCAGTCATGCACATCTCCAAAGTATAGACTGGCAACAGCTTGTTTTCTTCAGATTCAGAAGATGCAGAATAGACATGCCATTGCTTCTGTGTACCAAAACCACCCATCACATATGCTTTACTTCCGGAACCAAGTTTACCAAAATACCCATCGAGAATGGCGACTTCTTCGGAGAAACAACGATGAGGGTACGGTTGGACCTCGGGAAAGATGAAGCTACCGCGAGTATATTTAACAGATTTCACTTCAAGGCCTAGCCCAAGGGCCAAATCTAGGATGGGTGGGATAGAGAGCAAGAGCTTTGTGGTGCCACATGTTTTGATGATAATCTTGTATGCGTAAACAAAGAGGCTAGATTCAGATAGAACGTATGAATCAACATAGTCATTGGCTAGTGATGAGACGATAGTGCACTGAGCAGGTTTTAGAACTTCATCTAATTGTTCTCTGCGAAGACCTCGCAAGCCTTCGCCTCTAGGGCCAGAAAATTCTCCAGACTCATAAAATGAGATCTCAAGCCTCTTTTCATAGCCTTCAAACCCAATTGCAGATGCTGTTGATGCCATTTGGACTTAAAAGTTGACTTAGTAGACTGATTGTTGAAGAGAGGGATTAACTAGGACGAGTGAAGAAGAAGAAGAAGAAGAAGAAGAGTATGACAGAGCAGGTAATAGGAACTAGCTAAACTTTAACTCCACCAGTTAAGGTGGTTATGATCAAGAAGCACAGGGAATCTCAGGATGGCTTGCGTGCGCACTGGAAATAAGAAATAAACACAAACGAAGATTATATGCGCAATCCGTGAATATGAAAGAATTTTGACTCCATGAAACCATGATAGATTCAATAATGGAGATGGACTAATTAAACTCACGTTGGAGTAAGCAGCAGATCTGAACTTCTGGACTCCACCGTTTGGTCGAACGTCTTCAATAGTGTAACCGAGGGGAGCTTCGTAGAACAAGGATTTGCTACTGCTAGACTTCTTTTTCCCACTTTTAGACTCCATTAGATCATAACACCTGAAGGTTAGAATAAACAAATGTAAATTAGAACCAATCATATAATAACAACCCAAGACCAAGGCAAGTAAATATTCCATAACATGACAGGGAGATTACATGTTTGATGGCTTTCCACAAATCAAACGCACATTTAATGTATATTTATATAATTATATGTATGTATGCATATATCAAGGAAAAAACATCACAGCTTGGAACAAGGAACTGACTTTATAACACGCGACCGTTGATGAAAGAAGTGCTTGTATTGTATTGGCTCCAATGCTCAATGAATTGATCAATTGAAGCGTAATTAAAAAACTATTCAACAATTAAGAAGCTAACTCTACGATCTATCTCATTATACTACGCCTGCAATCATTCAATGTAACCACATTTTTGCTATATGATCTTCAATTTTTTCTCAAGTCAGCAGATAAAGATTTCAATATTAATTTCGCGGGACAACAATATAATCAAAAACGAAATGAATAAAACGAGGTGTATAAACCAACCAATTGATGAAATGAATTTACATAAAACTAACCATATAAATTTCATGAAATCGGGACAATTAATGAAGAAAAATAAGACCGCAACTTACAGATCAATTCAAAATTTTCAACACTGAACTTTTGTCTGAGCCTTCCTCCTCTTCTCAAAACCCTTGGACAATCAAATCTGAGAAGTGAAAATCAAATTCAACAAAAACGTCAATCGGCTTTCATCATAAGATACAGAATGTCCGGAAATTAACAAAATTATGAGGTTTTATTACTTTGTATAGACGAACGAATAGACCAGATACGGAAGAAAGACCAAAGGAAATTCTTGAGAGTTTCCTTGAATTGACGAGACGTGCGAATTGGAAAAATTAATTCGAAAGTGTGTTTCCTTATATCGAGGTTTGCGTTGAATATTACGTGAACCTCACGTATAATAGAGAACACGTTTACGGTTGATAGAGAATAGGAATATCTCTGATTTCTAATGAAAAATTCCTTTCTTGTAGACCTTTTTATACACATCAGTACATCTCTTATGTTCATGAGACTTTGTTTTGTCTGTAAATCCCGGTTTACAAAGAAAATTGACTCGTTTTGTCTGTAAAAATTCTACAGACAATTTTTGTCTGTAGACTGTGATTCATAGACAAAAAAAAACTCTCACAGAAATAAGGGTGTACTAATGTGTATAAGAAAATGTACACCAAGAATTGTTGATTTCTAATTTATTTACACATAAAGAGTCTTCAACGTAACGTACTCGGGTGGTTCTTTTTTATCAAACATATAATTTTTTATTGAAAAAATGGTTTAGATGTTACTTTGGAATTTTAAAAGACAAAAACATAACTCCTTTTAATAATTCAAAAATATGACTTGCACTCATCTCTGCCCGCTAAACAAACGCACTTCATCTCCAAACGCTTCGTCTCTTCCATCGAGCATAACTCTTCGTCTTCTCCATTGAGCAAGGAAGTCAATCTTTCTTCCCTTCATCTTTGCAGTCTGCCATTGCATCGTACTGCCACTGCCTCCAGGTCGTATTGACTCCACCTTCACAGTCGCCGCCACTGCCTATGCCGGCATCCGATGTCGCCGCCTCTGTCGGCCTCCAGATCTCCGCCTGCTTCCATTCTTCTTATTCAGCTTTCCAGATCTGATGTGAAAGTCTCGGCTGCCAAGTTCCATCGTTTGGTCATGCTCCGGCGGTGGCAATTGCTAGCAAACAGCGGCGGCGACCCAAAATTAGGGTTAGGAGGCTAGGGTTGGGGCAGTGACGATTGGGACTGTTGACTGGTGATTGAGCGGCGGCTAGATTTACGACGGTGGTGATGCGCTGAAGGTTGGAGGCTAGGGTTGGGGCAGTGACGATTGGGATTGGGGCTGAATGTTGGAGGCTTGTGGTGTTGAACGGCGTTGATGGCTCGCAGGGTAGTTTAGCTGACTGTCTGGTTGCTTGGGACAGGGCAGGGGGTTGGACTTGGGTTTGGGGTGCTGGTGGGGCATGGGGATGGGGAGGGGCAGGGGTATTGGGTGGTCTATGGGCAAACGGCAGTAGTAGAGACGGGATGGCGGTGTCGGCGGGGTGGCGGGCAGCCGTGTTGGACGGGGAGGTGGCTCGGGACAAGGAGGGGGCTGGGAGCTCGAGAGTTGAGTCAGGGTTTGGCGGCGGCCGGGGCTGGCGGTGGCAGTATCGTCAATGTTGCGTGTCACTGTGGCTGAGTAACCGTGAGCGGGCAGTCTAACCGGAGTCACTGTGACCGGTGGGTGGGTAGTCACTGTAGGCGGTAGGCGGACAGTCATGGTAGCCGGAGTCACTATGGTCGCAGTCACTGTGGAGGTGGGGCAGTTACTGTGACCGGTGGGGCAGTCATTGTGGCCGGTGGGGCAGTCACTGTGGCGGTGGGGCAGTCACTGTGGGCAGTGGACAGTCACTGTGGCGGTGGGGCAGTCATTGTAGGCGATGGGGCAGTCACTGTGGGCGGTGGGGTCACTTTGGCCGGTGGGGTCACTTTGGCCGGAGTCACTTTGGCTGAAGTCACTTTGGCCGGAGCCGACAGTGGCGGTGGTGCCGGCGGCGGCACCGGCAGTGGTGGTGGTGGCGGTCCTGCGGTCAGCGGTCATAGCACTACTAATCAAATATATAAAATGAATATTAAAATAATAAATGTATGATTAAATAAAAGGAATATTCCTTTTAGTCACATTTTTGGAAAAATTTAAAACAAAATTTTCACTAATTTTGTAATATACAACCGGGAATATTTTCCTGAAATATACTGCGATGTTTAAGTGCGCAGTTATCTTAAAACATTTATTTGACTGCCTTCCCGATTGCATTTTTAGCTGAAATTTGGTATGGGTAAACTAGACTTAATGAAGAAAATGCGTAAAAAAATCATCAAAAATTCAACCGGTAACTGCCCCAAATGGCGATGGCCGGACAGAGCATCCTATAAAAGGGGCGATTTGCACTTTTTTTATTAGTTCGAGCTTATTTGCCCCTTTTCCCAATTTTTCCTTTATTACTATTTTAAGTGCAAATTAACTTTATGAAACGAGTTAAGTGTGATGATATGTTTATTAGTAAAATGTTAGAAAATGTGTGAACTCGATATTAAATTTTTATAAAGTTGCATCATATCATATTTAGGGAGTGTTTGAGTGTTTTCAACTTTAACTTAAAATGATAAAATATATATTTTCAAGTATCAATTATTACATAAACTAAACACTTGTGATAGCTTAAAATGGATGTTTTCAGTCCAATTGAAAACAGCATTCTTATTATGTTGATTTCTGTTAAATTTCAAAGTTAAGTTTCAAAGGAAAGATGATAAAAAATCAATATCCAACTCGTAATTAGAGAAAAGGATGTCAAAACTTTTAAACTCATGGCTCCCAAACTTATTCTTTTGTAATACAAAGGCTATATTTTGTATGGTGTAATGCAATGCAATGAAATAGAGTACGTAAAGCAATACAAAATGTAATGTAATGGAATGAAATCAATATTCCATTATTACTATGTTTGATTAGCTAAAGCACCACACCCATGAAAAAGAAAAAGTGCAGATTTGAATGGAAAAGGTTCATGTGTTGGGAAAGGGAGATGCTGGCCGCACGAAAAGAAACACAAGAAAATGTGATCTCAAATACATAACTTTTCTAATGTAATGCTTATTACACATATTAAAGTAATGGATTCTACGTACATAATGCACATTACACTACGGTTTAAAAATAAAATGTCATACCAAATATTGTATTTGAATCAGCATGTAATGCTCATTACATTACATGATTGATTACATCATACCAAACATAGCGAAAATACTCGTATATGATCTTTTTATTTCTCACAAACTCATGAGAGTGCCATCTTCCAAGTTTTAATTCTTCAAACTATTTATAATGTTTTACATTTCGCCATGTTGAATACGGCCTCCGACTAAATATAAGTTGGCATTTTTTTGATTCATTCCAAAAGATTATCAATATTTTGTTTTACACATATTTAGATGTTATATGATATATATTGTATACTGAATGAAAAAGTAGTTTATTATATTGTTATTATAATTTTATTAGAAAACATAATGTAAATAGTGAAAAAGTAATTTTATTCTATTAGTGCAATAAACACAAAAGATATAGTGCTCAAGCAATAATAAAAATTAATGGAAAAAGGAAACAAGGAATGTAGAAAACCTGGACATTATTTCTGAATATATGGAAGACAGTGATTGCCTTTGTCTTTATGAGAGACCACTCATTAGCTAAATCACTCTTGTGATTTATATGTATGTATATGAGTAATAGAAAGATATAGAATGATGTTTTGTGTTGTGAATGATTTTCAACTGACTCAAATGAAGGAACGGGCGATTTATTTATAGTGGGTAAAATGGTGTTATACAAAGTCATGCAACCCTTTCCAAAGTAGGTGAAAAGGTGATTTACATCGAAATTTCATAACATAGAGTATTGCCATAATTAATCTTAATTATATGTGTGTATGATGTTATGTGTTCGTAAATAGTTTTCAATTAATCAAATGCATGGACTGTTTTTGTAGTGGGTGAAAAGTGGGCCTTTTTATTCCAATATTACTAAAATGAATGAAAAAGACAAATTTGTGACTTATTTTAAAATTTTACAAAAATGTGACTAAAAGTCATATTCTTTATATTTAATTATACATTTATTATTTAAATATTCATTTTATATATTTGATTAGTAGTTCTATGACCGCCGACTGCAGCACCGCCGCCACCGTGACCACCGCCACTGCCGGCCCCGCCGCCGGAACCACCGCCACTGCCGCCGCCGCCGCCAGCAAAGTGACTCCGGCCAAAGTTACTCCGGCCAAAGTAACTCCAGCAAAAGTGACTCAGGCCAAAGTGACTCCGGCCAAAGTGACTCCAGCCAAAGTGACTGCTGCCGCCCTGGTGACTGCTGCCACCCCAGCCAAAGTGACTGTCCGCCCACCCACCGGTCAAAGTGACTCCGGCCACTGTGGCATTGGCCACAGTTACTCCGTGAACAGTGACCACGCACCACCGTCACTGCCCCTCACCACAATCACTGCACCACCCCCGACCAGTGACCCCGAACCACCTCAAACCAACAACTCCGGGCGGTTGTGCAGCCACCATCGCACCCCAACCAAAACCCCAGCCCCGGTCCACCACACCCCACCCCAGCCCCACTCTACCCTGCCCCCCGCCCCTGCCACCTAACCACCTCTGTCCCCACCGCGACTGCTCCGGCCAGCCATCGAGATGACAGATCTGGCACCGGCGGCCCTAAGGACGGGAGATCCGGCACCGGCGGCCCCAAGGACGACAGATCCGGCACCGGCGGCCCCAAGGACTGCAGATCCGGCACCGGCGGCCCCAAAAACGACAGATTCGGCACCCCAACCCCCACCAGCCCCCAACCACCCTCCCCCAGCCCTTGCACAACCGCATCACACCACATCCTGCCCCTAGCCGTCGCACCGTCGCCCACCACTAGCCCATCGCGACCAGGCCACTTCTGTCTTCGCTCATCGCCCTTAGCCTCCATCGCCGCCACATACGGTAACCCTAGCCGCCGAATTTCAGCGATGAAAGAAGAAAGAAATGAGAAGAGAGAGATGAAAGAAGAAGGAATGACAAGAGCGACAAATTTCGTTGGGAGAGATGGGCCGACGCAAATAGGCTTGTGCAGCGTGGCTGGAGTCTTTTTTAAAGAGTCATATTTTTGGAAAATGTAAAAATTGTCATATTTTTGGAAATGAAAACTCTAGTAGTAATATATAGGTCATTATTTCGTGAAAAGTGCTTTAAAAAAGTAGATGTTCACCAAGACAAGCGCCAATTTGATGTGAAACTCGTAATTTGTATGTGTATCATCAAGATTCATTCTCTTATTTCTCAAAAATTAACTTCAACGTTACTTTTTCTTATTACGGAGTATTATACA